CACTAGGTCGTGTTGTAAAGCAAAATGGCTGCCGCCATGTTGAAACTTCCCATAAAACCTCGCTCTGTTGCTAGTCCCATTTCCTCGCGGCGAGAAAATCGAACATTTCACCGTCTGATATGAATTTAAGTCGTACTGTCGTCGACTTGTTCGTCTCGACGGACAAATCGTCTTCAAATAATCGTCTTTTCAGACGGCCAAATATCAGACGATTTGCTCGTCGAAAAATTTTTCCGTCCCGTTTTCACATCAGACGATTTGTTCGTCTAAGACGATTTGTCCGTCCAGACGGTTTGTCCGTCCTCTAGTGTGAAAACGGCCAATGGTTTTCGGCATGGGTAAATTTGTATTATTAAACCTCTTTGACCTGTGCTCCAATCGTATACAGTCGAAGCTCTCTTAAGCGGGCACCCTCGAGGAGCGAAAAAAGTGACCGTAAAAAGTGTCGAAAAAAGTGTCCGTAAAAAGTGTCCGCTCACAAGAATGGGAAAATACAGAGTTTGTATAGGAGTTTAATAGAACGGGGTTTTGACTAGGTGGCCGTAAGTAGACCTGTCCACTTACGAGAGTGTCCGTTAATATTTATTCAGCTAGGCGACATTTCGAACTTTAATCCTCCTTCATATCCCTTAAATTATCTTTAAGAATGCACTCAATTAAATACTGACAGCCAAGGAAGAGTTTTATTCATAAAATATTCTATGGATTCACCATGTTCACTGCGTGTTAAAAAATTACGCGAAAAGCACATTGAATTTTTGGTTTCCTCGACAATTTTAACATCCTTAACCGCTTTCAATATGGCTGCAGACCTCACCACTTTACTACAATGGCTATTCTTGAATCTGTTAACAATGTTTATGAAGGCTTTGAAAATAATGAATGCACTGTTAGAATTTTCTTAGACCTTAAGAAGGCATTTGATACAGTCAACCATTAGATACTTAACGACAAATTAAACTTTTATGGTATCCGTGGTACTCCTCTAGCCTGGCTCCATAGTTATTTGACTAATAAGCAGCAATATGTTATGGTCAATGGCCATGTGTCTTCCAGTAAAACAGTCAAGTGTGGGGTCCCTCAGGGTTCAGTTCTTGGCCCTCTCCTTTTCCTCTTACACATTAATGATATTTTCCACTCCTCTAGTTGCCTCTCTTTCATTCTCTTTGCTGACGATACCAATATTTTTTTTCGTCCTAAAGACTTGGCTACTCTAGAAAACATTGTTAATCAAGAGCTTTCTCGTGTCTTCTCCTGGTTTAATGCAAACAAGCTTACTATCCACCCTGACAAGTCCAAATGCATTATCTTCCATCCACGGCGTAAACAGATTGATCTCTCCAAAGTTAACATCTATATAAATAACACTCCTGTAACCCGGGTGGAGAAATGTACATTTCTTGGAATTATCATTCATGAAAATCTCTTATGGAAACATCATATTATTACTGTCTGTGATAAGGTCGCTAAGGTTATAGGAATTTTACGTAAATCAAGACGATATCTACCCTCGCATACCCTAAAAACTTTATATAATTCTCTTTTCCTACCATACATTAATTATTGTAATTTGA